AGAATAAGTTGAAGTCCCTTGGGAGCAGAATAACTTTATTGCGTAAATGTTCGACCCTGGCGCCCCACTTCGTCTTCAGACGCATAGGAAATGTGCAAAAAACAGTCAACTTTCGACAATGCCTAATGCAAGAGTTTTTGGTTGCCCAAAGTGTGAGCCAATAGGGGTTCGTTGTATTTAGTTATCTGGATGATGATGGCTGGTATTCGCTTCGACTTAACCTTGATATAACTTGATGGGCATATTAATGTATGCCTTGTCTGAGTGCACTGTCTCCAGGAATTCGCAACCCTTCCTAGTTGGGCATACGCTAACGATGTGGATTCTCCCCATGTAAATATGTGTCCTGTGTCCGGTGTATGCATGGCAAGCCGGGATAAGTCATCTCGTCTCTCCCCTACTAACTTGTGTTCATGTCTAAGGACGGATAGAGATTTCCCAGTTTGGTCATAGTAGACTATATCAAAAATGGTACACGGTTTTTTTTAGATGATTTATTTTCTGTTGTAACAGCCAACTCTGTCCTTAGGGTGTACAAACTGAGTGCGCAAAGTAATTGTAGACTTGTGCGCCATTTTTATCTGGCGTTATTTTTGTAGTTGCCTTTGGACGAGTTCAGATGCATTCCTTACATATGGCTCAACTTAACAAATTGTTAGCAAAGCTGCATTTGTGAGGCATAAGACGGGAAATACCAAGATGTCCGATGCCCTCGGATTATATACGTTTACGATAAACTCGTGTATGTATCTTTCCACCGGTTTTCCTGTGTACGAGGACGTCTAAGAATTGGAGTCGCTCATTAACGTCGGTTTAGAAGTTAAATTAAACTCATGGGAATACGGAGTTGATATTGTGGTCGAGTAATCCTAGTTGATCTCTTTTGACGATAACAAATGTATCGTCTACGTTGTACAGTCACTGTGGGAAGAGCCGTAGTACCTAATTTCTTCTTCTAATTTCTGCATCACAGCTTCCGCCAAAAAGTCAGTTATTGGCTGTTGAGCGGCTGCTGGTGGGATTCGACAGCGAGTCCCAAGGCACAACGGGACGAGTGAGTTCCGTAACCAATCGGTGAGCGCCCATCTACCACACATACATATATATATATATATATATTGTTTCAGACACTTAAGGTTTTCGCTTTCATATGCTGCTTGCTGTATTTGAAAATACTTATACTGTGCGCGTGCTAAGTTCTCTAACTTGTACTTTGGACACAGATTTATTGGCATTCGATGTAATTTAGTCTTGCTTTCGAGCTAAGGCAAATATCTATGGCCACAAGTTCTTCAGTCACAGGGTGGTCACAGCGTGATTGGCTTTATTTAAGAGCAAACTGGACACGTATCAAGTTACTCACCTCCCAGCCACACAGCAGAGAATAAATTGCTTATACTACTTACAATTAGTGAGTACGTGTTTATGTTTACTATTTTCGGCTAGCGTAGCATTATCAATTGAACCAGCTTTCTGCCTTCTACCCGCAGGCATCCTGCTTAGCGGTCTTCGAGAAACCGGGTACTGGCGCCAGCTGGAATGGACAGGCAGCTCTGGGTCCGGCCGTTGGGGTAATCACTACATCGGACCTGCTCTATGCGACCATCTTGACCCCGAGGAAAGACTCACCCGATCCGCATCGGGGGGATGGGCAACTGGTCTCACCCCTCAGTCAGTCCTCCTCAGATTCCCGAGAGTCTCCTGCGGTGAGGGCGGCTCTCTGCAGGTCGCAGCATTCTGTGCCTAGTCCCTCGGTCTCCTCCTATTCCATCTCCTGCAAACGCAACTCTCTCCCGGGTAAGTCATCCATCCCCAGATCTCTATCTTCAGCCACCATCATGTCTGATTTAAGTGCTTGGTGCACTATAACGAACTGGTCATTTTTAAGAGGGTTATGATCCGTGCCTTGCAATTAGCACGAACTGTGAGTTTTTCCGACCATTTTTTTCCAAATCCAACACGCGTGAGGAAGAGAAGGCAGTCGACCACGAAGAGAGCTGTATTCGCAAGTCACTCACACAAAGGCTGTGTATATTTATTGATCCGCTTGATGCGGACGCGTCGGCGAAAATGGACCAATCAGATCTGACGAGAGATCGATAGCCACCATGCGCACTCTTATGGCTGCACAACAGCTCGCGCGAGGCGTCTTCCTGTGTGATGACTCATCGCAAAAATGGAGGCAGACATCACAGATTTCGTGACACCGATGCTGAGAGCATTAAACTGTCCATCACTATTTGTTATCTAAATAAACGGTCCAGTGACTGACACAAGACACACCTTTGTAGCTACCATCCATGTTTGTAGTCTTACAATGTGCCTTAAGGGTTTTTCATCCCTTCTTGAACTGACAACTACACTGGGAATTTAGGTTGTTACGTCTGAGAGTTCCAATTAATCCCTGTCTATGTATATGCTTTGCTTAGTTAGATTGCCTGTGCTCAAGCTACGCAGATTTGAAGGTTATTGATCACAAGCATCATCTAAATGGCTCGCGGTGGCAAGTAGTCCAAAATTAATCATTTTTACCTCTCTTTGTTGACAACAGTTTCTTTTTTCTTGCAAAAGGCATCGTCTTCTCTTGCATGCATAGACAACAACGATTTTGACGTTATTTAACGCGAAAGAATAGGCCTCGATAACACGAAGGATATGTGTGAATGGTCTTTGGGTCTCTTTTGTATATGGTTAACTGCGTATTTTCGAGACATTTCTGGTCAACTGAATGAAACGTGTTTCCTTTGAGTACTTCACACCCCTTACCAGGTCTGTTTCAGGATTAACTGCCCTCTTGTTCTCTTATGTCTACTCAGTGACCGTGGGTCAAACTTCCCAAAGGCCGGACGCCTCTTTCGGGAAATCTCCTCGGACCCTCACTCAACTACCTTCTCCTCTCGGTCCAAATTCGATCACCAGGTTTTTTCACCGACAGAAGTGAGTGCTCGTGTCTGTGTGTGTTGGCACGCCGAGTCTTTATTTTTTAATCAACAATTAAACGTCTACTGTTACGAATTAAGCAGACTGACTATACTTCATTTAATTTAGACGTAACTCTGAGAGCGAGTCGCCGTCACTGCAGCTGGAGGGACCTTTTCAGGCGCATTCCACTCGCCTACCGACCGTACCTGCGACGTATAACGCAGGTGGTGTGATCGGTGATGCTGACTCGGTCGGCGCTGGCATTTCTCCCTTCCGGTTACCTTCGCGCCCAACAGCT